CTATGTCATCCTCTCTTGCTAGTCTTCACCTCTCATGCCTAAGGAGCTTTAAAATTGGAATTTTTTCTTTAAAAATCATTAAGTATAATTAATAGGAAAAAAATGAATGTAGCATGCAAGATGGCCCAACTAGAGGTATCTTTAAAATTTTTTATATTAGTCAAAATGTTTAAATGTAACTAATCACGATTTAAATAACTAGTATCTCCGAACTAAGATCTTGTTTAGGTCTTCCTAAGAATTTATTTCTGCCTCAGAATGCACAACGTTTCCATATAAATGTCAGTATGATTAGGGTTCATTAGCCATTTAAAAAAATCCAAGACTACATTCAATCCAAAGCTTTAAAAAACAATCCAAGCTTTAAAAAAGCAATAATGAAACCCCTTCTTCCCCAAAATCAAGCTAAAATGGCTTTCAGGAATGAAAAAAATAAAAAAGATTATAGTATTTTATGAAAGAGACTAAAAACCAATCACACATCTTCCATGTAGAGATGCCGCTTCCGTTAACATAATGTTCAGAATAAAGTTTTGATTTTTTTTTAATGAAGAAAATATAATACAGGATAAATTCACAATGGTCAGGGCTATGAATCAACACTACAATAGAGCTCTAATATGAATTACATTTTAACTTGAGTATTGTCACATAACTATGGATAAGTGCCTACATATCAGGTCCATATTACAAATAAACTTTGATAGTTATTTTTGCCATTTCACATTCAATCTACATTTCTGAAGTCCTTAAAAGCATAGTATACATTCTTAACATAGTTAAGAATTTAAGTAATAATGCTAAACTGTTGCTCCAAACTAAACTGGTTCATAAACAATTCTTTTATTTCTTATCTATAAGCACACTAAAATAAGATTGTAAGCTCTCCTGAATCCAAGCATCATGTCTGGCCTGTTCACGATTATATGCCAAGTTTGGCCTGTCAATGAATATTTGTTAACTAATGTAATAAATAAACCCCATAATCTGCTGCATTTTCAAATTTTACTCAGTCAAGTGCCAACATACAGAAAAATTAACGAATGTGATTGGCTTATTCATTACTAAATTAAACAGCTGCTAGAATACAATACAAAATCTCCTGCAGTAGTTTATTTAGCTAATGGCTTAAATTTTAAGATCTTCATATACATAACAAATTAAAATCTTACTCCTGGCCAGGTGTAGTGGCTCACACCTGTAATCCAAGCACTTTGGAGGACAAGGCGGGCGGATCACCTAAGGTCAGGAGTTGAAAACCAGCCTGACCAACATGGTGAAACCCCATCTTTAAATAAATAAATAAATAAATAAATAAATAATCTTACTCCTGTAAATGAAAAGCATGCTAAGTTTTAGCAATATTTGTCAAGTCAAAACTCTCCAAATTTCTGATGTGCCTCAAAAAACACCTTTTTTGGGTTAGTCATTCTAAGAAATTTGAACATGAACTAGCAATTTGATTACACTAAGGAATTACTGTTAATTTTCTTAGATGTGATACAGCCCTGTGGCTCTAAAATGTCCATTTTAAGAGATGCAAATTAGTTTCTGAGATTTGTTTTAAATTACTTAAGCATATACACACCAAACGTTGGAGCACCCAGATTCATAAAACAAATTATTCTTGACTTATGACAAGACTTAGCCACACGGTAATAGTGGGGGATTTCAACACTCCACTCACACCATTAGACAGATAATGGAGGCAAAAAAGTAACAATGAAATTCTGGACTTAAACTCTACACTTGATCAACTGGATACACATACACAGAGTACTACACCCAACAACCAGTGAATATACAAATTTCTCATCTGTACAGGTAACAAGTTTTAAGACAGACCATATGCTTGGCTCTAAAGCGAGTCTCAATAAATTAAAAAAAAATTGAAATCACACCAAGCATACTCTTGGAACCCTGTGAATAAAAATAGAAATCCATATCAAGATCTCTCAAAACTACACAAAGACATAAAAATTGAACAACTTGCTTCTGAATAACCCTTGGATAAACAAAGAAATTAAGGCAGGAATGAAAAAAAATCTTTGATACTAATGAAAATAGAGATACAACTTATCAAAATATTTGGATGCAGCTAAAGTAATGTAGAGAGGAAAATTTATAGCACTAAATGCCTTCATTGAGAGGTTAGAAATATCACAAATTAATGACCTAACATCATAGGTAGAAGACAAGAAAAAGAACAATCGAATCCCAAAGCTAGAAGAAAAAACTAAAATCAGAGAAGAACTGAATGAAATTGAGACCCAAAAGTCCATACAAAAGATCAATAAAACCAAGAGCTGGTTCTCCAAAAGAATAAACAAGATTGATAAACCACTAGCAAGATTAACAAAGAAAAAAAAAGAGAACATCAAAATAAGTGCAATCAGAAATGACAAAGATGACAATACAACCAATCCCACAGAAATACAAAAGATCCTCAGAGATTATTATGAACATCTAGATCTATGCACACAGACTAGAAAATCTAGAGGAAATGGATAAATTCTTGGAAACACACACACCCTCCCCCAAGGGTCGATCAATAAGAAACTGAAAACCTGAACAGACCAGTAACAAGTTCAGAAATTCAATCAGTAATTTAAACAAAACAAAACAAACTACCAACCAAAAAGAGCCCTGGACCAGACGATTCACAGACAAATTCTAAGAGATGTACAAAGAATTGATACCAATCCTACTGAAATTTCCAAAAAAACCAAGGAGGGGTTTCTCCCTAATTCATTCTATGAATCCAGAATCAGCCTGATATCAAAATCTGGTAGAGACACAATGATAAAAGAAAACTGCAAGCCAATATTGCTCATAAACACAGGCACAAAAATTCTCAGCAAAATACTTGTAAGCCGAACCCAGGAGCACACCAAAAGTTAATTTGCCGTAATCCAAGTATGCTTTATTCCTGCAATACAAGGCTTGATTCAAAATATGCAAATCACCAAAATATGATTCACCAAATAACAAGAATAAAAAACCAAAAAACATAGTATCATCTCAACAGATGCAGAAAAAGTCTTTGATAAAATCCAACATCCCTTCATGATAACAACCCTCAACAGACTAGGCATCAAAAGAATATAACCCAAAATAGTAAGAGCCATGTATGACAAATTCATATCCAACATAATACTGAATGGGTAAAAGCTGTAACCATTCCCCTCTGACAACTAGAACAAGACAAGGATGCCCACTTTCACCACTCCTATTCAACATACTACTGGAAGTCCTAACCAGAGCAATCCATCAATAGAAAGAAAGAAATGGCATCCAGGTCAGAAAAGAGTAAGTCAAATTATCTCTTTTCACTGACAGTATGATTTTATATACAGAAAACCCTAAAGACTCTGCCAAAAGGCTCCTGGAACTGATAAATTCAGTAAAGTTTCAGAATACAGTGTCATGCAATATACCCATGTAACAGACCCGCATGTGTACCCCTTAATATAAAAGAAGTTGAAAATATTAAAAAATAATTTAAAAAAAAAAACATGGTCAGGGAGCACAGAAAAAATAAAATAAAATACTTAAAGCAAAAGCAAAAAATAATCAAAATGAAGAGGATACATGAATCATGTACAGCAAAATCTTAACTACTGCTGAATGTGGGTGATGGTTATGTGAAAAATTATTCCATTCTATTTTCCTGTATATTACAAAATTTCATTAAACATTTCAAATAATGATGAAAATAATATAAAGCAGGCTGAGTACAGTAGCAGTCCCAGCTACTTGGGAGGCTGAGGCCAGAGGAATGCATGAGCCCAGGAGTCTGCGGATAGCCTAGGCAGCATAATGAGATCCCATCTCTTAAAAATAATAATAAACCCAGTAACATAAAAGTAACTGAAAAATCCCAATATTTGAAAACTAGTAACAGCCTCAGTAATCATGGGTCAAAGAGAAAAATCAAGATGGAAATTAAAGATATTTTAATATATGCTTCAGAACATGCTGTATGCAATAAATACATACAATTTTATCTGTCAATTAAAAAAAAAACTTTTTTAAAAATAAAAAGAATAGCTAAAAACGTACTTTCAACTAAATTAAATGGAAAAGTACCACATCAGTATTTATGTGATGTGGTTAATAAAGTATTTAGAGGGAAAAGTATAGCACAAAATGTATTAGAAAAGAAGAAAGGTATCAACCAAACGACCTCAATTTTTACCTTAAGAAATTAGCAGATAAGAGCAAATTAAGCCTTGAAAATGCAGAAGAATGAAAATTATTAAGAGCAAAGATTAATGATAATACAAAATTACAGACTATCAATAAAACCAAGAGCTGGCTATCTGGGAAGATCAATAAAACTGATAAACTTCTAAGCTAGACTTTTCAGGAAAAAGGTAAGATGAAACAAAATCCATTATCAGGTATGAAAGAGGGAAAATCATCATTGAATCCAAAGATATTAAAGGAATAACAAGGCAATATTATGAATAATTGTCCACCAGTAAGTTCGACAGCCCTGATGAGATGGGCAAATGTCTTAAAAGATACAAACTAATAATAATGCTGAATCAAGAAATGGATAATTTGATTAACCCTAAATCTCTTAAGAAAATTGAATTGGTAGTAAAAATTATTTTCTGGAAGCTTCAATGGCAAATTCTACAAAATATTTAAGAAAGAAACAATATCAATTCTATACAAGTTTCCAGAAAACTATAGAGGTAGGAGCACTTATGAGGAGAGGATACTCATGTGTTTTGACTCATGTCATTAAAATCAGACATAGATACTACAAAAAAGCTACAACCCTATGAGATGGATTCTACCAATTATTCCATTTTAGAGATGAAGAAATTTGGCTTATAGAAACTCAGGAGCTTGCCTAAAATCACAGAATAATTGACAGGCTACTTCAGAACCCAGACTTTTAACAATAATGCTGTAAGTGTTTTTCAAATTCAATTCAATTCTAGACGTTCTTACAAAAGAAAATAGTGAGAAGTACATCCAATACTTACCTAGAGACTATACTGGAACCATTATAGAGATCACTAGCATATGACAATGTGGCTAAAGGTCGTACTGAATTATATCGAGTAAACTTGGACAAGCATTCCTGAAATTCATCCAACTGGCTTGCAGTTCGACTGTCATCTACATGAAAAAAAAAAAAAAAAAAAAAAAAAAAAAGATGAACTACAAAGTAAGTCAAAGAGCCGTCTCCACAAAATAAAAGTATATTCTAAATACAAAAAACAAGTTTTTAAGATTTTATTAAATACTAGTTTGCACAACTTAATTAGTTAATTTTTCAGCTTTAATAAAAAATGTCTTGGTTTATTGAAGATACTATCTCTTTCCTCTGTAAATTCTTAATTTTTTTGTAATAATGTCATGGAAAAATAAAAATAATAATAAAAGAGCTAATATTTGAGAGAAAAGTCATTAAAACAAAAAATCCATCAATGGAGAGGGTGAGGATGTAAAGAAGAGTACATATACTGGATGGGTATTTGTCAGTTTGAAGGACTATGTTTACTGGCATACATGTTTACGCCTATGTTTATTGTTAAAATCCAGTGTACAATAACATTTTAGATAAAATGGTTTATAAGAAAGAAGAAATATTTGCTCAAATAATACACTGAAATCTTTCAAATTGTATTACAGGAAGAGAATAGAAAACTGCAATGTTATGAACTATTAATGCTAAAAAACAAACAAAGTTTAAAATGGCTCCCATTTATCCCAAAGTGTGCCTTCATCAAGAAAAAAATAAGTTTTCATTCAAATTTCTTGGTGAAGCATGAAAAAACAATTCCAACCAGTGGAACACTATACAGATACCTTCAGTAAATTCCACTTCAGTAAACTATTCAAAGCTAAATCATGTGAGATTTAAAACATAAAATCAGTTACTGAGGTAACTGAGAATACAACTAATCTATTCTCTGGTCTATTAATAGAAGCAGACCTACAGTAAAAGCATAAATTTAAAAAATCATTGCTTTCCAGCACTGTGTCATTTGAATTTATATTTTCCTTTCTGAAGAATGAAAAACAAACAAACAAACAAACAAAAAAACCAATGAGCACTTTAGCTTCCTAGACTGAAAACTAAGTTTGTTATACCACTGTATTTTCATAGCTTCTTTATTCTAAGCTTGTACATATACACACACACAACTTTTCCAAGGTAAACTTTCATGATTTCCCTTCTTAAATGCCATCTGAAGTAACAGTAAGCATAACAAAAGTAAGATGCAAGAAACATTAATTAAAAGAGTTATACAGATAATATAATGTACAGTAAAGAATTTGTTATCTGGAGATATTAGGTTATCTTGAAGATAACTGTTTGCATGATGAAATTTATCTAACAATATCAAAAATAATAAATAACATTACTTGAAGAAATTGAGTGAGCTTTTGTTCTTGATATTTTACAAACTTCTAAAGATTTAAACACTAATCAAATCCATCAAAACACCTAGATTAAAGGGTCCAATTAGTAGTGCTTCCATTCTAAAGAGAGCAAAAGGAATTACCTAACAGGGAATATCCTAACAGTACTGAGATAAAACTCTTGCCCCACAAAAATTATTCTCAGGAAATTCTGCATATTATAAATAAAACATGGGTTATTTGCAAAAATAAAAACCACAAATGTACTGCATATAATAGTTAATGATTCTTTTTACATGGAATCCTATTACTGTGAGTTAACATTCTACATACTGGAAAAATGGTTGGTTTTATTAATTTAAAAACTGTTTCAATGTTATCCTATCCTTTCCCATTTTGCCATCAATTTCTAAGTACATAAAATTCACAAGCATTCAGTATTATGTATTCTGTTGGAGACCATAATCCTGTTCTAAGCTAACTAGATTTCTGCCTATCATATAATTCAATAATAGCTACTTTCAACAGAAACCATAAGGAAAACAATAAAAGTAGTTATTTCACATCTGCAAGTATAGTAATTGGTTTTAACTGAAGAGGTTACAAAAAGGTAGGATTTTGCTTGTGTGGGGTTTCACGATCAATATCCATACATATCACCTCTCCTATCCTAATTACAAATTGGTTTGTAAAAGTGTATTCAGTGTCTCTTTTCTTTCTTTATAATTAATCCCCTCTTTCAATTACAATTAAAACTCCAAAGTAATCGTTCTTTAATATTCATCTCTCATTTTCACAGTTGGAAACAAAAGTTAGGGAATACAGATGGATTTACAGATTTTCATGTGAATGATATACAAAGGAAAATCAACCTCTTAGTTACTCCATTTCAGAGAACTTACAATTTCCCCTTTACAGTCAAAGGTACTAGGAGGAACTTACAATCCACCAATACAATTATAGTAGCTAGCCAACTTCAGATTCCTGACAACTAGAGACATGTTTTAGGTACAATACAGCTATACCCACACAAACAAAAACCTATCTAATTTTCCTCCTGGCTTTATTATTCTACTCTCCTATAAAGCTACACCCCCGCCAAATGAACTGGCTTGTGATTACCTTTACTATTCCGTACCATGCCCATGCTGTTACTGATCTAAAAATTATTAATAATAATAGCCTCCCCCAATCTCTTTACCATCTCTTTTTATTAAGGTCTGCCACTTGCCTACGGTTATATTACAACATTACACCAACAAATAATGAATGAAGGGTTAACATTCTACTAGTCAGAATGCAGTTATCAGGCAACGTTCAACTTAACAACTTCTTATTGTAGTTTATATTTATAGATTATTACATAAGCACAATAAGGGGCTTAATTCCCAGGCAATAAATGAAAATTTTCCATGTATAAAAACTGTTTGTTGTTCATTTCAAACACACAAATCTTGGCTTCTCCCTTGGTTTTCAGAGGAAAAATGCTTTGTAAATCTAATACATCTTTTCCTATACCACCAATCCTGAGGCAAATTTGTCTGTAGGATCTAAGCAATAGGTAGATTTTAAATAATATAAACATATTTATTCAAGAGAAAACCAACACCCAGTTTTTAACAACCAATAAAATATCAGACTTTTTTTTCCCCTTGGTGGGGTTTACTTTGAGCAGACGCCCCATTAAGGACACGAATTAATTGAGCACCCAACATGTACCAAGCATTGTGCCTTACACACACCACTTATGATCATTAAAAAACTTATTAGGGTTAGTGTTAATGTCTGCTTCACTGATGAAAAAGACACTAAGAAAGACTGAAGAACACAAGTTAAGAAAAAAACACTAAATTACTTCCTTAAGGTAATAGAAATATCCTATGCTACCACATCCATGTCTTTACATATGTTATTTCCTCTACTTTGAACATGTTTCTAATTATCTTTTTCAGTTAATTCATACTAGAATGGAATATATACAACTCCTCTGAAATCCCTACACCAGGCGTGTCCAAACTATGGCCCCTGAGCCGCATGCGGCCCCCTGAGGCCATTTATCCGCCCCCCACCCCCCCACCCCCCACCCCCCGCCTCACTTCAGGAAGGGGTACCTCTTTCATTGGTGGTCAGTGAGAGGAGCACAGTATGTGGTGGCCCTCCAACGGTCTGAGGGACAGTGAACTGGCCCCCTGTGTAAAAAGTTTGGGGACACCTGCCCTACACTGATCATTCCCTTATACCTCCCCGTTTTCAGCTATGCTTGGATTTTTTTTTTACTACAGTAAAAAAAATTTTAATACAGTTGTATTAGTAGGTATTATCCATTCTCATGATATTCCTATAAATTCGTATAACATATAATACCACACAGAACTGTTTGTTGCTTTCCCTGACTCAATTTACAACACTCTTTTTTTTTTTTTTTTTTTTTGAGACGGAGTTTCGCTCTTGTTACCCAGGCTGGAGTGCAATGGCGCGATCGCCGCAACCTCCGCCTCCTGGGTTCAGGCAATTCTCCTGCCTCAGCCACTCTTTAAAGACAGAAATAAGTTTTCATCTTTTTATTCTTAGCACAGAGGACCATGCTTAGAACTTAATGTTTATTTAATGTTAAATATTAGGAGGCAACTGAATGAAACTTATTTTTGCTAGCTACATGTTTATGGCTGACTTTCTTTTTACCTTTATCAGAATTCGCAAATATAGAACAAAAAATAGTCATAGAAAAGTAGTATTCTCCAAGATCACTACAAACCTCCATGATGATCTGGTAGACTATGTCAAACACACACCCTTTTGCTTTGCAATTAGAATTTTCCATAAATTCAGCACAAAAATCTAGAAACAGATCTGAAATATAGATCTGAGATAATTTGAGAAGGTCTGGATATGTACCTGAGATACGAGACATCCTTGTAGAAAAGTAACACTGCTCCAGGTCTTCAAAATGAGCAGTAAGTCGTTTTCGTCTTGATGCTAATGTGCTATTATACCAAGGCTGTTTCTTTGTCTAAAATGATAATAAGAAAATACACATAACTTAGAATAAGCAATACTTTTTTGCATAGAATACTCAAATGTTTGAGCATTTACCTTCAGAAGTTAATCACAGTAAAATAATTACAAATGATAAAAAACTATAATTTTGACATGTTTTCCAATTTTGCTTTTAACATGAAAATAGAAACCAAATTCATTCACAGAATAATTAAAACTAATAATGATTTTTAAAATAAGCTCTAAAAACCAGTTTTACAAGACTAAAATGACAAACATTTTCAACGCTACAAATAAAATGAAGACAGAATTCATTTATGCCATTCTAAAATTTAGAATTTTAGGAATCTTGATATCCAGAAATTGTTAGAAAATAATTATCAAATAAAATGAGTTACTTTTTCATTATCCCTACATTGTAGCTTTATACCCTTGAATTACTGGAATAGCTCTTAACTATCTATTTAATACTAATTATCAGATTAAGAGGCAGTAATATACACATGCCAAAGAGTTTGATATATTCATTAGACAAACAAAATAACAAAATCAGATACAAAGGCAATAAACTTGAAAAATGTTAGAATACAAATCCTATAAAAAACAAAGGTTTGTGGTCCTAAATATATATTACTTAGTTGCTGACACAAATTCACCAATAACTATACCAAAATGCCAAACGCATAAACTAAAATGTACTAAGGTACTGTAGTGCATACTACAGTGTACCCCTGCTTTGATAAAACTACATGGGAGGTAAGAGTCAGATTTGAAAGCACTGCTTCACTCTGAGAACTAAACTCTTAGTTTTAATTCTCTCTTGCCCAAATTCCTATTTAAGAAGATGGAGAGTCATGCCCTACAAACAATAACAATTTCATCCGATGGGTTTTATTTAAGGCTATACAGGTTTTATTTAACCCTATATAATCTCTCTTAATTTTCAACCTGACTCTGGAATAATGTCACATGACAGATAACAAAACAGTTACCACACCTATCTTTTCTTTTATAATACTTTAGGTGGTCCACACCCACTTCAATGGCTACAGGCACAGGCTCAGGATGGGTTAGACAGTGATGGCTCCCTCCCTGCTCCCCTTCCCTCCAGGCTTGGGTGTATGGCCTTGTCTGCCACATGTGTACGCAGTGTCCAATGGCCACTCAAGGTGCGAATGAGCCACAGCCACTGCCCAGGCCCCAAGGCGACCTCGGGGCCTGTGCCCTGTGGCTGACTGACCAGACTACCATTTGGTTTGGGCCAGGGGGAAAGAAATCCATTTGTATATATAAAAAAAAGAGGTTCTTCCTTCAGGGTTACCCTGGTACTTTGTGTAAAGTCTTTTAGGCTGGTGCCGTGAATGCCATGTTACCTCTGTGACCTGAATGGACACTCCAGATGAGTTCCTGGAAAATCTAAAGTAACTAGAAGACTGTAGAAATGATCAACCCCTGAGACACCTACTTAACTTTGAGATATTCTCTATTGTCCCTAACTGATAAAGCCATTGGACTTTGTCACTGACCTTGGCCAACCTCATGACTACACCTATACCCTATGATCCCTCCATCAGCTTGCAAAAAACGGCACTATGACTTTCCACTGTCCACCCCAAACCTATAAAACCAATTCCTATCCCACCGGCCTTCACTGATGCCCTTTTCGGCCTCAGCCTGCCTGCACCCAGGTGAATAAAGAGCCATATTGTTCACACAAAGCCTGTTTGGGGGGTCTCTTCATTCAGCGCACACATTTTAACACTTTGAACTTTTTTTTCTCTACCCTATTAGCAGTTAACTTTTATGTGACAGGATTTTTTTTTTCTTTTTAAAAAATATTTTACTAGGCCAAGACCCCAACTGTTACTGTTTATATTCTCTGTAAAGTTTTAACTGCGAAAAAGGATTTGTGATGTTGGTCTTAAGTTGTAGCCAATCTGGTCTGATTTATATGACTTTCTATATGGTAAGTAGCATATTTTGCTGCAGGCCTCCATCCTGTTTTACATCCTTGGGAGCCAGACCTGTAACCACATGGCATAACATGGCAATGTTTTGTTCTAGCTCTGCCATTTTACATTTGTGGCCTGGGATTCAATCCTGGCTTAGAAAATGAGTTCTTTCTGGTTTGGTATCTGTGCAACCTTTGTCATTTTTTGATTCTCTTCTCCTCCATGAACCACCTTGAATTTTCCTTTTTTGAACCTTTGTAAAGTTTGAAAGCCAGAAATATTGGCCACTTGGCATGGCTAAAGTCAGGTAACGAGACTTAAAAGGGATTTCTTAAAGAATGTTCGGCTTAATTAAAAGTGGATATCCAAGTTATAGGTGTATTTAAAAGGCATTTATGTTTTTATTTTCTTGGACCTTATTTTGCTGAAAAAAGTCTTTTCCTCAGCTGACTGAATTATTTTTCTCTATTTTTCCTTGCCACTCTCAATGCACATGAGAGGGAAGAGACCTCTGTTTTCCTCATGGAACACCAGTAATTAAAAGCAAACAGATTCCTCTCAAAATCTGTTTTTGCCTCATTTATGCCTGTTTATTAGGCCTTAGAAGCTTTTGCCGCCATCCTCCTGAACACACTGGTAAAAGGTTTCAAGGTTTTTAAGCTGTCCTTACCCCTCTCCCCTTATTTTGATACATGTTTTCTAATAACCCAGTTTGTCTCTTCTTGCCTTCAGCCATCAAACTCCAAATGGTCATGCAATCAGAGGCTGGGATAATGGTCCCTTTTGCTGAGACCCATAGGTAGGCCTCTCAGGGAAATCTGACTGATGTTTTAGCAAAACAGCACACCCTGTCAGCAGGAAGCAGTTAAGATTAATCTTCCACCTTATCCTTATGGCAGTTAGATGTATTTCTTTAGAGGGGAAAATTACAGAGATAGGAGGAAGCCAAGGATCCCCTGGCAAAACCTCTTTTTCAAGCCTAAAACAACCTGTAGGCTGAAGAAACAGACTGCCAGTCCTGGATGAAGCCTGCTCTTTCCTGACTGACTCTTTCTAAATAATGCCCACCTGCACACTGGGAGAATGGGGTGAGATGAGGCCTCAGGAATTTTGTGCCATTTGCAGTGGGGAGGAGCCTGGCCTCTCTGGTCTCTGGGTGGTGACCTGGGATTCAATGTATGAAGCAGGAAACCTGCTAGCAGGATTCTTTCTCACTTTGCTATTTTTCCTTTTCACCGAATAAATTATGTTTTCCTCACCCATCTATGTGCCCACAAGCCTAATCTTTCCTGGTTGTGTGACAAGAGCCTGCTTTTAGCAGAACTAAGGAGAAAGTTCTGCAACAATAACACTACACATGAAAAGGAAGTGTGGTCTGAGAAATATACTTGGTCGCTGTCCGAAGTTCTGAAACTGCCACTGCAAAATTATAGCTAAGACAGTGAAAGATCTTACCAAACCACCTTGCTTCTAACCTCCAAGCTGTCCTTGTTCATTTCTGGGAACAGACTAAACTAACTTTTGGGAAAAACTTAGTTTACAGCTTAAAACAAAGATGAAAACAGCCCTTTCCCAAAACAAACCTCCTTCTTGCCTGGAGACTAGACTGCCTTTGCAGGACTAACAAATTAACCACAAGATTAGAAATTATGGTTTAGGAGTTATCCAGCTGGAGGCTACAATATTCTGATCCTCCCTAAACTGTTCCTAAGACCAGTGCCTGAGATATTTTGCAGACACTGCACTTTGATGTATCAGCTGGCTCCACCCAGATTAATTAAGTGGCTCATCTGATCTTGTGGTCCTAGCCCAGGAACTGACTCAGCGAAAAAGGACAGCTTCAATTCCCTATGATTCTATCTACCACCCAACTAATCAGCACTCTTGACTCACTGGCCTTCCCAACCCACCAAATCTCTGATCCCTAAATGCTTGGGGAGACTGATTTGAGTAATAATAAAACTCTGGTCTCAAGCACAGCTGGCTCTACATGTATTACTCTTTTTCTATTGCAATTCCCCGTCTTGATAAATCGGCTCTGTCTAGGCAATGGGCAAGGAATGGTTACAGTTCCTCACACACAGTTCCTAAAATCCTTGGAGTTTCCTGAGTGATAGCAGCATCTTTTGTTACTCGTAGCAAGTTCCTTTTGATCATACCTGAATATAATAAAGTGACTTAGGGTGGGATACCTACAAAGCCTCAGAATAAGGCTGGTCAAAAGACCACCAGAGAGTTGAAACTTGCACACACAACAACCTCCAGGAAGTAGGTGAGGCCTGGAGAGTAAATTCTACAAAACGTCTGGAACAGTAAGATTGAGTGAGTTTCTAGGTTGGTGAACACACTGAGGTCAGAAGGATCAGGAAAGCCTGCATGCCCAAAGATGGCATGAAAGCGCTGCAAAGCATCCTACTCCCTACCCTGGAATATTTGCATTGTACTTATCAACTAAGCCCGCCTTATCTGAAAATCCAAAGCCCAAAATGCTCCAATTAGCATTTCTTTTGAGTGTGATATCATGGCTCAAAAAGTTTCAAATCTTGGAACTTTCAAATTCTTTATTTTTAGATTTCAGATGCTAAATACATATTTCTTGTAACTGCATATAAATCTATAATTACCAATGTCTCAAAATTAAAAGTTTAATTTTAAAGTTCATTTTTATAAACAAATTTTCAGCTTTGAAAAAATGCTTAGAAATAAACTTGTGAAAAATTAAGCAAAACCTAGAGTTAAAATCAGTATCATAAAGATGTAAATTCTCCCTGAGATAATTTATAAGATAAAGGCAGTTACAGTAAAAAATACCAAGAAGCTTTTCTATGGAGCTAAATAAAATGATACTAAAGTTCCTATGAAAAAACAAACAGGAAGAAATATTCTGTAAAACAATGAAAAAGCTAAGAGAGGGGAAGAAGAGAAACATCAGATACTAAAACATACCATAAAGCCTCTACAAAAAAAGGTGGTAACAATACAGAAACAGAAATATACCAGAAGATAGATAACTTTTTAAAAATAGGGCTGGGACACATGGCTAGCCATTTGGATGTATGAAATTAAACCCACATTTCAAAACATATAATAGAATAAACTCCAAATAGATTCAGAATCTAAATGTAAAAAAATAATGATGAGACAAGTATTTTAAGAAAGTATGGAAAAGCTTCTCTATATCCTGACTGCAGAGAGAAGCTTTTAACTATGATTCAAAAATCTAGATGCAATTTTTAAAAATGGTTAAGTTTAAAAACTTTTGAATGGTAAAAAAACACAAACAAACATAAAACAGTAAGAAAACATAGGCAACACAACTCACAGGTAACAAACTAGTATTCCTAATATACATAACAAAGTCTTATAAACTGAACCAAAAAGGCCAAACATCTAATACAAGAAAAGGGTCTTCCAGCAGAAGATATAAATATACTATTCACTAATACGTGTATTAGTCTACCAATAAACATATGAAAACATAGTCAATCTCATTAATAAATAAAACTATTCTGAGATATATTTCTCACCTAATATATTGGCAAAAATTAAAAACTATGAAAAGTCATTCTGACAGAGATGCTATGGGGAAAACAGACATATTTACATGTTGCTGTTGAAGACACAAACTGCTTTTGGGGATGGCTTATTTGGTACTATCCATCCGTATCTTTGACCTAGCAATCCCACTTCTTGGAATTTACACTGAAGGTATACCTCTAATAATATAAAAATACAAAGGCATAACTTAGTTACTCCTGTACTGGCTGCAACTTCAAAATAATGGTAACTACCTACTTGTCATTACATAACAAAGTGATTAAATTACCATACAACCACATGAAGAAGTCTCAGGCAGCTGTAAAAAAAAAAAAAAATGAGGACTTGCATGAACTTCTGTAGAACTACTTTCCTGATAAACTGTTAAATAAAAAAAGCAAAGTACAGAAAAAAATTACTAGAAAGCCACCCTTTGTGAAAGACAGTAAAAATAAGAAAATATGGATGTGTATCTGTAAATCTGACTAATAAAACTGGTAACCTACAGAGGGTAAGTAGAAATGGACAGGAAAAGACAAAGGTAGGGAAATTGGTAGAAAGGCTGAAAGGGCAGCAGTTATTGATTCTAACTTTTTATACAGCTCTGATTTTTAGAATCAGCCTAATATTTCATATATTCAAAATGATATATATAGTAAGGATGGAAAGTGGAGTGAAATACAAACAGAAGTAAATGAACCTAAGTGTATTTCAAAGAAATATCACAACTAAAATTAAACAAATCCAAATAACCTTTGAATATATGATATTTTCAGTATATATTCTTGGGATAAAGACAAAGGGAATTTCAAAAAATTATCTCTAGTTAGCAGATTTGTTTTCTCAGCAATTTTCGTGTGTGTGTGTGTGTGCAAATAAGTATATTTTGATCATGAAAGCTAGGTTTCCAACAGAAGAGAAAATTATAAATATAGAAAGGTGAAATGCTAGAATGAACCCTGTGGTAGTGAACCTAATTGGACTGAGATCGTTAGCATGAACTTCTACCTTTTAAGAAAGGATCAGAAATATATATAGATATATGTTTTTAAGTGTATGACTATATATTATTTATTATACACTACAAACCATGGATTGACATCAGCTCATATGTACTGACGACCTGGTTATCTCCAGAGCTACTGACCCTTGCCTACACTATAGAATATATTAACTAATGATAAATAATTTTCTGTAACCATGAGTCAGTGAGTTGTTTTGGAGCAGAATCAGTCTGTCAGCATTATTTACTAATAATTCATGATTTTCATGATTTGCAACTGATTTCAGTAGGGTTTGTTAAAGCTGGTCACATAACCAGTATGCATCTAAGCGACTCAAACTGCCTTTGCAAAATTATGACTAAGACAGTGAAAGAGATCTAACCTAACTGACTCCATCTTGCATCTAACCTCCAACCTGTCCTTGCTCATTGCTGGGCACAGGCTTAACTAACTTTGAAAGGAACTTAGTTTATAGGTTGCTTTTTTTTTTTTTTTTTTTTGAGACACAGTCTTGCTCTGTCACCCAGGCTGGAGTCCAGTGGTGTGAGCTCAGCTCACTGCAGCCTCTGCCTCCTGGGTTCAAGCAATTCTTCTGCCTCAGCATCCTGAGTAGCTGGGATTACAGGCATACACCACAACACTAATTTTTCTATTTGTAGTAGAGACAAGGTTTCACCATGTTGGCCAGGCTGGTCTCCAATTCCTGACCTCAGGTTACCCATCTGCCTTGACCTCCCAAGGTGCTGGGATTACAGTGTGAGCCACCTGTCAATTTACAGGTTATGGTTTAAAACAAAGACCATAACAGCCCTTTCCCAAAAACAAACCTCCTTCTTGCCTGGGAACTAGACTAACATTAGCCACAGGATTAGAAATTATGGTTTAGGAGTCATGCAGTTGGAGGCTACAAGATTCTGACCTTCCCTAAACTGCTCCTAAGATCAGTGCTTGAGGTATTTTGCAAACCCTACACTTGACGAATCAGCTAGCAAGACTCAGACTGATTAACTGACTCATCTCATTTTGTAGCCCCCACCCAGGAACTGACCCAGTACAAGAGGACAGCTTCAATTCCCTATGATTTCATCTCCTACCTAAGCAATCAGGCACTCCTGGTTCATTGGCTTCCTCCCACTCACCAAGTTTTCCTGAAAAACTCTTACCCCCAAATGCTTGGGGAAACTGATTTGAGTAACAGCACAGCTGGCTCGGTGTGAATTACTTTATCTCAATTCCTCCGTCTTGATAAACTGGTTCTGTTTAAGCAGTGGGCAAGGTGAATCCACTGAGTGGTTGGTTACATGACTAGCTCACAATAATAGACTGCAACCAAAAGCAGACTTTGAATCTTCTGATACTCAGGTACTTCGAACCCAAGCCAGTAGTGGTTCTAAATCTGGTGACAAAGCAATTCCTATGCCACCTAGCAGTGGATGGACAAAGAATATTATGACTGAATTATCTGGATCCCTTTCAATAAATACACTACTTCTGCTGGGCTGTTCTGTATATCCATTGCCTGTAATCACGCCACTCCAGAAATATAAATGGTTTGATTCCTGGGAGTTCTTCAGTAATCATAGTGATTAATATGCAATTAATGCATATATATTATGGGCGCAAATATATAACTATATATATTAATACATACAAATCCATATGTTTCCCAGCTCTGTACAATGAGAAAGCTTGCAAGCAATAATACTCTAGGAACAATAAGCATACTTAAGATTTTGGTTTTAAAATACATTTCTCAACTAACAGAAGAGTTTCTTGGATACAAGACTGATTCCAGGACTGGGGCTAGGTCAGTACAGAATGAAGATGGAACACGTCTAAGAATGTTAAGAAAGTACTTATAAACAATGATAGGAATATGTCAAAAGCAACTTGCCAAATATAGAATTTGCGTTTCAAAATTAGTAACAGAATATATATATATTAATGATCCATGATTTCACAATGACATAAACAAACAGAAGGGCTAACTAATAGATTTGGAAGATATAAAAAAAACAGAAAATCATCATTTGGACAACTAACATATTAACAATTAATATTATAAGTAAGATATAATAACAGATGGTCAAAGGGGAGAAGATGTTAACTTTACAGCACTGAAATCTGGCAACCACCATCTTAACCAAGTGATCAAAGTTAACATCACTAGCACTGAGACAAATAGGTATCATATGCCTCCAGACATGACAAACTAAGGAGGACAAAATAGGAGTACCCTATAGTATTCCTGACAAAAATGGATCATCTGAATCTCAGTCACAAGGAAACACAAGACCAATTCAAACTGAGGGACATCCTATAAAATAAATAACTTACACTCTTCAAAACTGTTGATGTCACAAACTGAAGAACTGTACCAACTTAGAGGAGATTAAAGAGACATGACAAATAAATGCAGGAAGTCATTCAGAACTGGTCCTGGACCAGAACTGTTTTTTTCTATAAAGGATATTAGTGAATAAATTGCCAAAATTTAAATTTTTTAAAATTTAAAAAAAATTAAATTTTTCTCAGATGTATCAATATTAATTTTCTAATTTTGCTAATTGTACTATGGTTATATAAAAATTATGAAGCAAAATCAATAGGCAATTACAAAAGTTCAGAATATAGGTTCACACATTTCTGGCTTCACTTACATTATATTGTTAGCATTTTTTTCAATTCAATTTCAACTATAATTATTATTTTTCAATTTCAACTATAATTATTATTTTTAAGAGCAGTAAAGTAATCTATCCTATAGTTGTAGCATCATTTCTATAACTATTCTATTGTGGCTATGTTTATTTTTCCAGAATTTTTGCTCATATGATTAATACTGTTAGATTATCTTTACATAGTACCTAGAATCATCCCTTAAGTAGCATTGATCATATGTTTATAGTATCAAATTGTGTTCCTGGAAGTTGACCAATTCAACTACTCCTCTCCCTTCCTCCACCTGCCCTTTCCCAAATATGCACATGCTCAAGCACATACACTCATTACAAATAAAAGTATTTCCCATTTTGGAACATCGCTTGGATCTCCGCCAAACTATCAGATGATTTATTTGGTAATTTGTATTATTCTGTATTTTGGTTTTATTTGCAAAATTGAGTATTATTTAATATGTGAGCTGAATGTGTGAATTTTGCTCTTTTAAAAATATTAATGTCCTTCACCATTTTCTTACCCTGTGTGGAGCTTTCATTAAAAAAATAAAATTGGGTGGGCGCAGTGGCTCATGTCTGTAATCCCAGCACTTTGGGAGGCCGACGCAGGTGGATCACAAGGTCAAGAGATCAAGACCATCCTGGTCAACATGGTGAAAGCCCATCTCTACTAGAAATATAAAAATTAGCTGGGTGTGGTGGCATGAGCCTGTAGTCCCAGCTACTCGGGAGGCTGAGGTTACAGTGAGCCAAGACTGCACCCCTGCAATCCAGCCTGGGCAATGAAGCAAGACTCCATGGCAAAAAAAAAAAAAAGATTACACTATCAAAGTTTTTAACATTTTGAACCAATTCAGCCATTTACTTGCCATGATTATGACACCTTTCCTAATTTGGGTATACATTTGTTTCTGGTGTTTTTTTATATGTAGGATAGGTTTTTTTCTTAATTTCTGTATTTCTACTGTTGTTTAAATTATTGTTTAGCTGATCTGAACTCTTTCAGTAAGTGAAAACAAGCTAAATTTCCCTTGTCCCAACATCATGTGTTTAATCTCTCCTTTCACCACTGATCTACATGCCCACCTTTCACCACAGACTAAACTATCAATTACTTTTTGGTAGATTTTAAATTATTATTCTGCTTCTTTTGTTACAGTAGTCTTAGAGTACATTGTAATAACTGATGATGTAAATTCATCATTAACCTCTGAATAATTCATTCTACTAATGAACTTTAATGTTAACTGGCCACATTCTATATACCCTTGAAAAAAACTACTGGGTTTTTTTAAAATGCAATCTAATTAAATTAGTAATCATGGTTACTGGTCTATCCAAATTGACCTAAAATTGTTCTAAACTATTTTAATATTTTATATTCTTAAGATTACATTTCATTAAGAATGTAATTTTTATTAGTATACATCAACATTGTCTTAATTATTTTAATGTACTCGGCATGATAATAGCTAATTTCAATTCATGTTGCATATGGACTTTTTTTTTTCTGTCTTTCTACATTTACCATCTAGTGATAATGTAGCCTGTTGGTAAATAATAAGTTCATATGTTTTCATTCTTATCTAAAAAAATTAAAGCATTCAAGGCTATGAATGTTTACTACAATTCTGACC